GATTGCAGTCAAAATTCTCAGAATTAAAAAGTAAAAATGAACGGAAATAATTCCTATTCCATTTGTTTTTACTTTTTAATGTTGCTAATAATTTCGAAATGCTATATGTATTTTTTAAATTTCTATTCTCTTGATTTTATTTCCATATCGATAGTAAATAAAATTATAACTTTAAAAATAATGAATAGTAAAATAACAAATTTAAGAGAAGAAATTTAATCTTATTAATATTTTTTGACCTTATGTAAAATAATTTTTTTTCTTATTCAATTTTTAAAAAATAAACTTCATTGTTTTTTGGTTTGCAACTAACATAAAAGAGTAAATAATTTTAAATTAAGTCTTCTTAAAGCAAAAAACTATAGCAAGCTTTTCGAAAATTAATTTAGATAAAATATAGTTAAACTTGTACATTATTTACATTATTTGGACTATTGTCCTCATCTTTGTCACCATATTTATTACAACAGCCTTCTTCAGGTGGTTGGAATGTTGAACTGAACCCTTTATTTCACTCACTGGGGTAGACTGTTCTAGTTCCACATGCCATGTTTAATGGATATCAGTTATCTCCTGTTAATTTCCCTCTGAAAGTTCTCCACTGCAATAACTCTTTGGGTCCTGTCACTGGATCTAACCAACGCCTTTATCCACTGTGCCATGAGGACATTCGTGTATGAATTTCTGGGTATTATAAAATTATATAATGTCTCAACAACCATTTTTACCAGTGCTCATATTGCAATTTTTTTTTTTTTTTTTTGCTGTTATCATTGTATGTTTTTTTTTTTACCAGAGCCCATATTGCAACTTTATGTCATTATTATTGCTATTCTCTGGCACTCCTTATTGCTTATAGTTAAATTCATAAAACAAATATTCAACATGACTAATGTTGTTGACTGTAACTTATGTCTGTCTCTCTTAATTTTTATTTAACAATTTTTTTTTCTTTGCAAATACAAATATAACTTTAAATTTAAACATAATTAATTTTCAAGACTAAATTCGCAATGCATCTTACTTCTACTCTCTTTCAAAATAGTTAGTAATTAAAATCATTTACAGAGAAATTTTTGCTTCTTTCACTTTCTTTAAAAAGAAAATAATCATTAATGTAATCTTTATTTACTTGAAAAAATCTAAGTTCCACTCCAAAATAAATAGTAAATAATTATTTTTTGTAGAAGTAAGGCTCATTAAAGTTTTTGCTTGAAAAAAATGATTAAATTAAATATGATTAAATATATCTTAATTTAAGTTTATTTATTTTTTTTTATTAATAATAATTTGAAAAAAGGTTAATGAACTTAAATCAATTTGATTTGTTTGAAAACAACATTAACAGAGATTTAATCTGAAAAGTTAAGTGTCTTTGAATAAAAATATGGGGATGCTCAGCCACCTAAGCCCCCACCACCCATGGTATTGATAGTGTGGCATTTTCCTAAATTTAGTTATTTTGTAGCAAACCAAAAAACAATGAAGTTTATTTATTAAAGATTGAATAAAAAATTATTTTCCACAAGAAGGCTGAAAAATATTAATAAATTGTCAATAATAAACTATCATTCAGAGATCTTCCAAGCAATGCCAGGTATCCCCACTAGCATATATATATATATATATATATATATATATATATATATTGACAATTTATTAATATTTTTTTTTCAGCCATCTTGTGGAAAATAATTTTTATTCAATCTTTAAAAAGTAAACTTCATTATTTTTTGGTTTGCTACAAAATAACTAAATTTAGGAATATATATATATATATATATATATATATATATATATATATATTATTAGTAAATAAATTAAAAATTTCACAGACATCCTGACTTATATCATCAGAGATGAGATAAATCAATTGAATTTAATAACATATATATCTGGCTGAAAATACATTACATAAAAAATATTAATTTCTTTTTTACATGTTTCATTTCTTAATGATGATAACATGACATAATTTATCTGAAATTGTTCAATTATTTGTATTAGATATTTTTTCAAATATAAAAAGGAATGTGTGTAAAATAATCTTAGTAGATTAATACAGTAAATTGTTCTATTATTGAATACTAAACATTTATATTCTTGTAATATTTTAATTTACAGTTTATATTATTTTGCAAATATAATTACTTCCTTTATTTATTTTTTTTTAATTCTGATAGTACAGAGGCTGTATTATTGATTGATATATCAACAGCTCTCGGACAGACAAAATCGTCCGAGTTTTTTTTTTTTTGAGGGCCACATCAGGTGGAGATAAGCATCATTTTTGTTTGTATTGAAATTTGTAATGGGGTGGGGAGCGTTTCAGTTCTTTACCAAAAATATTATTTCTGTTTTTTGATATAGGAGGCATTGTAGAGTAATAGATTGCAGTTCAGATTGAGGAATTGGAGAGCAGAGTTTGAATTCTAGTCAAGTTCATTACATTCACTTACATCAATGGTCAGCAACCTACGGCCTGCGGGCCGGATCTAGCCTGCGGAGACATTTTGACCGGCCCACGAGCCTGATTACCAATGACTATTTTTAACATGAGAGACGAGGCTTTCAAATTCGACAAAAGGCCTGCTGTTATCTTCCTCTGATCCACCCAACCGAATTTGAATTATGCCTACGTTTAATGTCAAATAAATGATACATATTTTTTATGACCCTTGGCTACATTAAAAGATAACAGAAACGAAAGGAACGATAAAGTGAAAGAGGCCAGGGAGGGACTGACATACGAGGTAGCAGAAATCTAAAGACAGTTAAACATACACACATTATACATACATGCCTCATGAATGTGTGGATGATACCGCATATGTACGTACGTAAGTGTATATGCTTGCAACTATTTATACTCGTATGTATGGGTATATGTGCTTTGTTTTTGTCTGATGTGTGTGTGTGTGTGTGGTTCATTTGTGGAACAATTTTCAATAACAGTTTCAAACCTACACGTCATAATTTCATCCATTTCACTTTGAAGTATTTTGACATTCCTTGAGGAAAAGTAATTTTTGTCAGGTGTTTTTTAATTTTAGATTTTCTTTTGTTTTTCTGCTTTTTCAATGTTTATTTTCATCATGTTTTTAAATATTTAGGTTGACAGGGGTCTGCATATGTAATTTTGCTTAATTTTTCATTAATGGCCTACATTCGGCCCACGACCCGTCATTATAACATGATTCAGCCTGCAGGGTCTAATGAGTTGCCGACCCCTGACTTATATGCTAATAACCTTGGGCAAAGTATGAATCCAACTCTTCTCCTGTCAGCTATGGGCAAATAGTATGACAGACTGGGTTCTATAGCCTTGAGTGACAACTGGTCTAGAAGAGGGAAAACTCTGAATTCAAAACTGTATCTAGATCTGGTGAAGCTCATACAATCCCATCTACAGTTGATTCCTATAACTCTATGGATGCTTGAAGACTCCATTGCTTAATAAACATAAAGAACATAAGACTAATAAACTTACTGCTTCTCAAAACTAACATCAATATAAATCAAAGAAAAAGCTGTTCTTAATATTATTTTTATTTATTTTAGTATATTAACTAATTTTGTCTTAACAAAATCAATAGACAAGCAACTGATTTAAAGTATACTAAGTGTTACTGGAAAGTTCCCAGGCTAGACTCTCCAAGCTGACTCCATTAACTGATTCCAATGATTATGACGTGATTGTTCTCATGAATAAGATCAGAAATATTTCCCACATTTTCTGGCATTTTGCTAGTATCTGCTTGCATCATCATCTTTAACCAATATTTAACTGGCCTTGATATGTGTGTGCCACTCAAAAAAACAAACCTGTGTTTGACCTTAAGAATGTTTCCTAAAAACCTGACAAAGTATTTTGAAAGGATCATGAGAGTAGATTTTCAAAGCTTAATGCAAAATTTGATGCTCAAATTTGAGCACCATCATAATTATCGCAGAATCATCTATATATAAAATTCTGTGACTTCTGTTAGTGCGCCCACACACCCTCTAAAATAGCCACATATTGACTGATCAAAACAAAACTTTGGGGAGAAGTGCAAACAGGTAAAGGGGTCCAAAGTACAGTTGGTTTTACTATTGTGCATAACTTAGCACAATAAATTTTCATTATTTTTTTTTGGAAAAATTAAGTTTTATTATTTAACATACAAAATACTTCCACTATTTTAAAAACAATTTAATGATTAAAATAACAAATACTTTCTTAATAAAAATGCAGTATTATTTTAGCATATCTAAGTTTTTATATACAAGAAACCAGTTTCCAGTTTACCTTATGTTTGCAAGAACTAAAACAAATTAAGGCCAAATACTTCAAAAAGCTGAAATTTGGCTCCAGAAAGAAATATTTACACATGGTCAGTTGTATGTTGTATACTCAAGAGTAAGAAATCCTAAAAATTTATTCTTTACTGTGAAAAACAAAAAAGAAATTTTCTTAAAAAATATTGTTTACCATGAAGGCCTATGAAATTAAATTAAAGAAATTATTAAACTGAGAAATAAGGTTTTCACCAAAGTATTTTTCCAAAGAAATCAGCTTGTTCAAATTTCATCGATTGGTTTGTGAAATTGAACATGATGTAGAGTTTGTAAATCTTGATAAAAAATGTTAACAATAACTTCAACAATACTAAATATTGCGGAGATTTCAACATGCATCAGAATGTTGCAAAACAATTCTAGTTCTGACATATTACAAAACCTTGTGCAATAACTGAATTTGAGCAGATAGGATGGAGTTTATTTGTAGACTGACTCAGTAGGTTGGGTACCAATAAGCAACAGCCAGATGCACATTTCTGCTGAAGGATACATTCCCAGCCTGTATAGTCTGAGAAGTATTTTATTTCTAGTCATTGATTTTGATTCATTGACTATGACTTATTGAAAATATTTTCATCTACTTTGAAGATAGTGCTTTAGGATTTTATTTTTTCTTTTACAAAGTTTCTCTCACTAAACAAAAGGTAATCACTCACCAGCTAATATCCGAAGGATGCGTTTCTTGGACATGACTTCCAACTGAGCAAGACAATGCTGTTTTAATTCTTGATAGCTCATGCACTGAAAAAAACAAGAAAAAAAATGAATGCTTAAGTGATGTGTTAAAACAAATTTCAGTACAAAGAGAAAAACAAATATGTCTTGAAGTGAGTATAAGCTCCCTAAATAAGTTCATTATTCAATCATTTATAAAGCTTACACTCACTTCAGATAAGACAAGTATGTATGGTCAATCACAAGACATGTGAATGGCATAATGGTTATCAGTGCAGAAATGGAAATGGCTAGTTCAAATTCCAGTTTTATCTGCTGCATTCACTTTTTCACTAATGCCCTTGGGAAAGGCATGAATCCACCTCTTCTCCCATCCCCACCTATATATAGTAGGGTAGAATCAATGAAAAAAAACTTAACTATACTTCAATGACACTTCTAAAATCTCACTAACAGAATTTTGTAGGCTTACAGCCACATCACATTGAAACAGCAGTTCCCATACAATCACCAAAATTAAGCAATGCCGAGCCAGGTCAGTACCTAGATGGGTGACCACTTGGGAATACCAGGTGCTGTAAGCTTGGATGTGCAGGTGGTGTAATGGATAATGGCTCTGAATTGTTAATCGGAGAACCAATTTCCAATTCCTGTTGTGTTTGTTATATTCACTTACATGCAAATACTCTTGGGAAAGGTATGAATTCATCACTTCTCCCCACCCCCAACTATGGATTAATTAGTAAGACCTGTAGCACTAAATCATTATTATCTCAAAAAATTCTTACAATCTAAAAATATTTTCTGGTTTTAAATAAGCTGCAAAATGTTGATAAGCAGTAGAAAACTATCAAAAATTGGCTTCCCCCATATAAAATCCGTATACACAATAAAAATGCTGATACCTTCAATTCTTCTGGAATGGCACTTTTCAGAGTGCTTCCTTTGATGCAGTGGAACATTTGATCAAGCATCTCACTTCTGTTTTTAATGTATGAACCAATTGGCTTAAGAGGTTTACTAAGATCCATATCACTATTGTCTGAATCCTCTTCCTTTTGGCTGGACTTCTCGGAATGAGACCCTGCTGATCGTCTGCTGCTACTGCTGTTTCTATGCTGCAAAAGAAATTTGGACTGAATGTTATTGTAAGCAAGACAAAAGCTAAAAAGGAAAACAGGCAAACTTGAAAATAGATTCATGAAAAAACAAATGAGCTTGATACAGAGTTAAGAAAGGTATTTGGGAGAAAGACTAGGACCATAACATCATAGTCATGTGTTAAAACTAATAATCAGTAAACACAAACAGAGACATTGCAAAAGTTGACCATTTACCCACAAAGGGCTTTAATGTGGAATCCAAGCAGAGAGATTTATTGATTTTATAAGAACAGAGGAATGATATTTTAATTAAATCAATTTTTATCTTCCTTGAATAATTTAAGAATGAATAGAATTGAATATAAGAGATTAAAACTGATATATTTTTATACAATGAAAACTCCCAATATGTAAATTGGTATGTTATAATAACATCCAGCATTTCGGAAATGTTTTGTTGAGAAATTATTTTGATTGTAAATTATAATCATCCAATTCCTTTGAATAGCTTGGGATCATTTTTCATGGAATAAAATTTATTTGTATCATGAACATCAATCTAATTAAGGGAATCATATAATATTTTCAATTAAATTTAAAAGAAAAGAAAAAAGAAAGTCATCAGTTATATAAACAGGTTGTATCCTGACAACCAAGTAGTGGTTGGTTCTGGATTAGTACAATAAATGAATATATCTTAAGTGGAAAAAGATATGAAATAGACCAAAGGAATAAATACAACCCAGAAATACAAGAAAATTTCAATGATGTCAGTAACTATTTTTCAAATAATAATTATTATTTATATAAAACTAAACAATATATTTGTAGTTGTAAATTTCTGTTTTTAACAAATGTGCTTAATTCCAATCTATAATTTATAGCAGAGTACTGAACATGTGATAACAAAATGCAAGGTTCAAATCTTGGAGATAAAACTGTCATAATTTAGCAGAAAGGTGAATAATATTTGTGCTAAACAGCCTTGTTCTTACAAAATATCTAATATCAGAATTTGTGAGTCAGGGTCATTTTCATACAAACCAATCATTTGGGGATCTTTTTTTTGCTGATAAGTGAAAGGAAGAACAAAGTAATTAGAGAACTAAAAAAAAAAAAAAAAAATGAAAACTAAGCAAGTCCATAAATTTTCTTTGAAGCTACAATTTTCTTTTTGAGTAACTAAAAGGCAAATTAACCTTTGGGGTTAATTGACACTTCTAGAATAAGTTATTGATGTTTTATTCATTTTTATCTTTTTTGGAATGGTCTGTGTTACTTATTGCTGACTTATGTTTTTGTACTTTTATGCAAATCTTTTTTTTTAACAAATTCTTTTTTCTGTTATGGTTCATACAATGCATGTTTATATTGGACAATTCCTTCTTTGTATGCCCATAAGGGAGTCTGAAGAATATTTTGAACAGATACATATTAGATTTTGATAAAGATATACATATTTTTTTTATTATCTTGATACATTAACATGGTGCAAAATGGTCATTTATACAAAGTGACCTAGTAATTGTGCCTGCATTTATCTAAGTAAATATACATTGTGTTATCATCAAAGAAAAGTAATGAATCTCATTTTGAAAAAAGCATTGGTGTAGTCCTCAGGTTAACTTGGCTTCTTGGAGTCCTAAAGTAACATCATATGAAGGTATTTCCAATACCGTTGCAAGTTAATGCTTCATCTAAGTGTAGTATGTGTCTCATGCCGAGCAGATTGTCTGTAACTTGGGGTTTACCTATTTGACAAAATTGATTTGATGATTTAGATTCTATAAGGACTTGTGCTTATAACTAATATCAGCATGAAGCTCTACAAAAATGAATTTCTCAAAATTTCATAAAATTAAATAAATCCGGGTGGTGGTGAAATAGATGTAAAATTAGGTACCTCCACGAAATCGCTAAAAAAAGAGCATAGCTTGATGAAAAAGATGCCAACCTTGCTGAAAACAAAATTTTATCGTCTAAATGCTTATGTTATTATTAAGAGGAAAGACCAAAGTTTTTTTTAATCATTTTTTAAAATTTTTCCTTCCTTTTAGAACATTCTAAATTTTGATTAAAAAAACCTTGGTTCTTTTTGTATCACCAGAACTAGTAAAATAACAAAGACAAAATTTTTTGCATGTTTTTTGGTATGACACACAATTTGGAAAATATTGCAAAAATAAAAATAATTGTCGGATGTTAATGAAACTTTCAGAAACTATTCAGAGATGATCGAAATTATTATAAATATGTGGGGTTTTTTTATAAAATTCATAGCAGAAATATTTTTTTTATGTTTATTACCCCCCCAATAACTAAATTTATGAAAATGCTAGAAATTCAATCACATCGGGTTTAGTGATTACAAGGCTTTGAGGAATGCAAATCATGTTTTTTTTGTTTTCAATTAGAGCCCCCTACCTGAAAATCAGCTCTGAATTGTAACATACAAAACTCAATAAAACAAATATATTATTTCATTTCAAATGCTTTTATTTGCTTTTAGTTGTTTTTATGAATATAGACAATATTTTCTGAAAGCAAAAAATTTTTTCAATGAAAAATGAATTTTTAATACAATTATTTGTTATTGTTTAATTATAATAGATTTTTACATTTAAGTTGTTAAAATATTATAAAATTAGTTAAAAGCTGCATCAGGTTTCCTAAGTCTCCTTATGAGATAGATCTTTTTTAGCGTGTTGTAAATTGTATCATTTTGACTAATCAGAAGATCTGCAGTAATTAAGAAATCTAATTTTGTGTTTATGATCGGTCTGTAATTATAAAGTACGGAAAACCAACCAGAATACAATTAAGTTGCGTTATTTGAGTTAAGCATTGTTCTCCGCTGTTAAGGCCTTTACTTTTGCGAAACTCGTGTGGAGAAGTTAATTTGATTTTTCAATTTCAACTGAGAAGGGTACCTACAAGTATCAGTATCATCTTATTTTTATATTAATCTCAGTTATGACATTTTTCCATAAACAAAATATCAAAATTAATAATAAAATGAATGGAAATACAAATAACACAGTAAAATGTAATAAATGTGCATAAAATTATAGTATTTTATGTACACTTCTGATAAAATTTCATAAGAAAGGTACCTATAAATTAATTAGATACCTTTCTTATGAAATATGAAATTTAATTTCACTCTTAACAGTCTTATTTTAATTTCTTTATAATTTATTTTCCATAAAGCATCATAAATGTAAAGGTGAAAACTAAGTACAAAAAAAAAAAAATTTGAGCGCTGAAAGTTTTCCTTAAAAATAACAAGGTAAATATTTTGTTCACTTAAATATAAATTATTTCACTTTTCTCCTTCCATAGAACAAATTAGCCTCATGGAATCCATCAATATGTCATTCATCACCTGTCAAGTGACGCAAAAGTTTATGACATGCTTTGTTTTATTTTCAAATTACATCTTTTCGGCGCTGAAGCTAAGTTAAGCTTGGTTCAAAATATTTTAAATAAACATTATAATTTCTTATTTTCTTAAAATAAGTTTTGAAAAAATGATAATTGATATTTAAAAAAATTTCAAAGGGAGATTTCCATTTTTTTTATAAAATGAAAAAAAATGGTCAATTTTGCTGACTCAAAAAAAAAAAAAGATTTTTAACAAAAATTTTGGATGTGCTAGGAACGATTAAAAAACGTAATAAAATACCCCAAAAATACTTTGATCTTTCCTCTTAATAATAACAAATATTTAGACGATAAAATTTTGTTTACACCAAGTTTGGCGTCTTTTTCATCATGCTATGCTCTTTTTTTAGCGATCTCGTATATATATATATATATATATATATATATATATATATATATATATATATATATATAATATATATATATTTAATTTTATGAAATATATATTTTACAAAGATTCTATAAAAAAAAAAGAAACATTTGTTAAATAATTTAATTCATTTGTAAATAAGACCTGAAAGTTTTATTAAATTCTGATGATTATCTGATTTTTGCAAGAATTTCTAAATCATTGTGTTTTTTAGCTCAAAAAGATGCTCAAATTTTCCATACTAATTAATGGTTACACATTGACACAAGAAACACAAAATTTTTAACAAAAATTTTGAAAGTTCTAAAAAGGATTAAAAAAATATAATTTGATAATCAAAAATCCTTTGGTCTTTTCTCTTAATAATAACATAAGATTTTGACAATAAAACTTTGTTTTCATTAAGTTTGGGTTCATCTAAGTGTAGTATGTGTCTCATCCCAGATCATATCAGATTAGATTTTGCAATGTCTTCTTTGGAGAAGCCAAATGTGGGATTAAGCTCTTGCACATTGAATGGAACTTATGTGATCAATATAGCTGTACCTGGAATACACACATGGAAAGGAGCTATATTATGGATTATATAAACACCCACCCAAGAGAAGAGAAGAGCAACCTCTGAGATATTGCACATGAGTAATCAACAAAATCAGAAATGGAATAAAATGTAATGTTAAGCATGAGAGATTTAGTTTCAAGTTATCATTGGTCTGTTTAATGACACAACATTATGTAATTAACCAATGAACAATACTCATGAGCAGAGCTAAGAGGTTGAGCAGAGAACTGAAATTAACCTTCATGAGGAGAGATAGGACAGATCTTTTTAATAAGTGAATCAGAATAATTAAAAATCATGGCAACGAGTGCCTCTATGAAGCAGTCTGTCTTAAAGTAAATCTATGATAACCAAAGAGTATAAAAAAGAAAGTAAGAATAATTTAAAGTTGCTTATTGGTTAGGTGAGTTAATTTTAATATATATCAATCCTTGTTAAGTTATTTGATATCAAATTTTGTATGGGGCAACCCGACTAGACTAGACTAGCTAACCATTACGCTTGGATTTGTTGGTTCATCTTTTGTTGGTTTGAGCATGCAAACCTTGCTGGGTTATTTAATGTCAAGTTTTGTATGGGGCACCCATGAAGATCAAATTCATTACTCAGTAGCCATGGTCTACAAGACTAGCTTCACAA